AAGGGCACTTTGGTTTCTACCTGCCTCTCACCAGTGTGGACGGACTGCCAGTGTCCAGCACGGTTGTGTCTGCTGAACCGAAGCAGCTTGCTTCTCTGCCAGGACATGAGCCATGAAGGGAATGGGTGTCCTAGGACAAAGGGTTACAGAGCTGAGACAATGCCCCTGCTATGTGCCCCTGCCCAGGGGGCCTCAGACGATTCCTGGAGACATTTTTGTTGAGTTACTCTACACCCACAAATAGCTACTTAAAAAACGGAAAAGAACAAAACTTGACCATTAGAGGGCTATTTACAGCAGGCGTTCAAAAGCTGACAGATACACAGATGCGCCTGCTACTTCTTGCAATAGACGCTAACTTGTTCTCCCAGCCTCCAGGCTCTCCCACGCCAGTCCATTCTGCACATTGTGGCAGGATTAATCTCCTTAAAGTACAGATCCGATCTTGTCATTTCCCTGCTCAAGCACTTTCAGTGGCTCTTTATGGCCTTTCAAATAGCCAAGCATTGAAGAGTCTTTTTTCTCTGGAGCCTCTTTTCTCAGCCCAGCCCATCCCTACTGTCTCCTTAGGATTTTTCTAAATGGAAGTTCCTTCTTCTTTGTAGTTCTCCTTTATCTCTCTTCCTCTCCTCCCATTTGTCCCTTGACTCACTCCTATGAAAGCTTTTGCCCCAGGTGTAGATGTCATTTCTTCTGGGATGCCTTTCCTGAAATCCCCTTCCTAGCCATGAATCTCTAGGCTGATGTCTCAGAAAGAGGTTCACATAAACTTTGAACTTCTTCCTGTCACAAAATGGTTTGTTCTATTTTGTAGTTGTTTAGTTATCTGTCTTCTTTCTTGGGAGGCTAGTTCTGGTCGTCAGAGACCGTGTCTGTCTTGCTTCCTATTTTAACTCGAATGCCAGGTTTGTGCTTAGAAAATGAGCAGGAAAGAAGGAACATGTGAACCAACAGTGTGTTCTTTCTGGACTTTGATGTTTTACTCCTGCTTTCCTTCCCAGCTCTGTCATAAGTCCGATCAACAACCTTGAAAATACACTAAACAAAACAAACCCATCACAGAGGCTACACATCGTATGATTTCTTTCATACAGCGTGCCCAGAATGGGCAAAGCCATCTGCAGAAAGCGTAGGTTGCCAGGAGCTGGGAGAGGGGGCCAATGGGAACATGTAAAGACTTGTTTTGGGGTGATGAATTTGATACTGGTAATGGCTGTACAATTCGTTAAATATATATACTAAAAAATCACTGAATTATACACACTTTAAAAAGGTAAACTTTATGGTGTCTAAATCATATCCTAATAAAGCCACTATTACTTTTATTTATTTATTTTTTTGGTGGGACTGGGGTTTAAATTTAGGGCTTCATGCTTGAAGGCAGGGACTCTACCAATTGAGCTACATCTCCAGTCCAGAAAGCCACTATTTTTTTTTAAAGGCAAGCCAAAGGATGACAAAATGTATATAAACTCCTACAAATTGATAATGAGAAGACAACCAATACAAAATAAGATGGACTGAAAGACTGACAAGTAACTTCATAAAAGACGGCTTCAAATGCTAACAAACGGATGAAAAGGTGAACAAACCTGCTAACCATCAGGAAATACAAATTAAAACCCCAGTGAGAGCTCACTGCACACCCATCAGAATGTCTACAACTAAAGATCCTAGTGCTGGCGACATGGAAGGATGTGGAACAATCAGAATTTGCAATCACTGCTCTTGGGATTGGAAAACTGGCACTACTGGTGAACGCTGGTTATCCAGATACCCTATGAACCAACAGCTACCCCACCGGAAACACTCCCCACAGGCTCGCAGCAGCATTCCTGTCGCACACCCAAACTGGAAACCACTTTCATGTACCTCCAATAGCGGAGTGGTTCAAGTGGCAGAGTGTCTGCTCGCAGTGTGAAGCCTTGAGTTTAAGCTGGAGTAACCCTCCAAAAAAGTGGGTGCTATCGGATGCCTGGCACAGAGTAGAAACTTAGTTTATGGTAAATACCATTACTGGTGATTAGAGGTTCATTCTAACTTCTCCTCCAACCCAGGCCCCAAACCTTGGCACCTCAAAGCCTCTGGCATTTAACTGCAGGCTGTGAAGTGGGATTCCTTTGGTCAGATTTTGAGCAAGTTAAAACCATTTCCAACTCACAGAAAGATCTGTCATGGTGGCCCACCTTTCCCCTCAGTCTTCAGAGCTGATAACAGTGTATGAAAAGGCTGTTTTCCCATAGACCCTTTACAGGGAAAGGACTTTTTTTTTTAGAGAAGGTATTTGTTTAGATCTAAGCTTAATTGAAATAACTCAACACATGTTTGAATTAAACCGTTTTTATTTTCAAGCCTGTTCCTTTGAGTATTTAATATCTTTATTGGTTCAGTGGCCACAAGAGGAAGCATCTGCTCCATTCAGAAAGACACCTAGTCAGAAGCAAAATCCATACAGGCATTGTGCAATCCGTGCTGAAGGTGGCCAACTGCTGGCCCCAGGGAACCCGCCTTTGTCTGCTTGTGTTTCGTAGCACTGCAGCACACAGGAGCCATCACAGGAGGTTACTGAGTTATCTTCATTAGTGAAAAACAAGACATCAAATGTTCCCTTCCCCTCATGCTGCCCTTCCTCTCCCCTCCATTTCTAAGCCTGTTCGTTTAGCAAAAGAACACACACTAGAGGCTAAGTCCAGAAGGTCCCCTGTGGGGACAGGAGTCTAGTTTCTGGCCTGGACATTCCCAACCACTTTTTTTTTAAGCAGAAAATGTTTAGGGGGGCATATGTGTTTGGGGCTTTGCTCTAGTGAGATGCCCTTTCACCCCTTCTCCTTGGCCCAGAGCAGTGGATGAAGCAGGAATCTGAACTTGGATGGCTTGAGAAAGAGCTCCTTGGGCTGCAATCGTGGCATCCCAAAAGATTCCACCAGAGTGGCTTTGTTCCCTACTTGTAGCTTGGAAGCTGTCCCCTCACTTCTCAACAACACACAGATAAGCCTATCCTCTGGTGCAGCACACAGAGAAGTCCTTGCTTCTTTGGGTCAGGATGGCAGGGAAGAGTGACAGAATGGAAAGGTGGCATCTGGAGTCAGAGCCTGGTCCTGCTCTGCAACTCGACAGCTGTGTGACATTGTGAAAGGCTCTCTTTTTAAGTTGGAAACTCTCATCTGAGAATGGCAACAATCATATGTTGCAGGGTTATTGAGAAAGTCAAATTCTACAGGAGGTAAGTTAGGCGAAAGCACCTGGCAAAGTGCCTGTGATCAGGTAGATGTTTAAACCCAGAAGGAAGAAAAGATGGCGGAGGAGGGAGAATTTGCTAGTTTCTCTCCAGAGCTATTCAAGGGAGTCACTGTATGGTAAGATGACCTGAGCGTGTGACATGGCTCAAACTTCACACACCCTGGCCCTCAATTTCCCCCCAGAAAGGGATTTCTGACCCCAAGAGGAGAGACTCCTAGAATTTGCCGTTAGATGTCAGCATGTGTCACTTTCTGAGACAGAATAAGGATTTATTACCTTTGTTTCCAAGGCACTGTCAATAGTAAGATGCACAATTGAGTAAAACAACTTTCTGAGATGCTAGAGAGAGGAATACAACTGTATAAATGGACCCATCCATTGTCGTGACTTCAGAATCATGAAAATGTAACCACTGCACATCTTTCAGTTAAAGAAATACTGCAATGATGCTGCTCCCACTTACGAAGCATTTGCTGAGAGCCAGGCACTACACTCAAGCTGCTTTGACTGTGTAACAACCCAGCCGGGCAGGTGCTGCCTTACACTTCCTGTTTAGGAAACTGAACTTGGAGAGGTTCAGTCACTGTTTCAAGACCATACTACCAGGAAGTAGGACTTGGCGGTAAATCCTCTTCATTCCAAAACGTTTACTCTTACCAAGACTCTCCTCCAGCCTAGGGGTCAGAGGTCAGCTCTTAACAGGGAAATGGTACGTGAATACGACACTTTGAAAATGCCTTGAGGCTCAGGAAGGTGACCGGGAAGGACACACGGAACATAGAGTTGACTCTAATCAGTCTCTAAATACTGGTCCCGGATGTAAGGGGACTGGTGGGGCTGCTCAGAATCCAAATAAAGGGAGCCAAGAAATCGTAGTGAGTCAGGGGCAGTCAGGGGAGGAACAGCCTGGCCACCCAGCAGGATTGTGCCAGGTCAATGGGCAATGCAAGAAGTTCTTACCCAGAGGCCCTGCCCTGTTCCTTTTACCGACTCTACTAGCGAAGCAGAAACCTTTGGAGAAGAATTCCATTTTTCTTTTAACCTTTCTTTTTCTTTCTTCCTTTTTTTTTGAGACAGGGTCTTGCTATGTAGCCCATGTTATCCTTCAACTTGCTCCTCCTGCCTCAGCCTCCCTAGTGCTGGGATTATAGACATGTACCACCAGGCCCAGCTCTTGTAACCTTTCTTAAAGAGGGGAAACCATTCTGACTAGTTGTCATGAGCTAGCTAGCAGTCATCTCATACTGGAACAGGGTTTATGTTAACAAGTTGGTTTTCCGGTTAGTTAGTCCAAGTTACTTGTGCATCTACTTATGGGATCGAATATCTTGCTCTGCAAAGCTGTGGATATGGCACTGAATCTGAGATGATCCCAGTGGCAGACCCTGAATGATACTCTCAGAAGCATTCTCTGACTCCTGACTCCTGAGCAGAAGGGTCAGGACTATGTCTGTCTGTCTGCCTGCCTGCTTGTCTGTCTAGCTGTAGCATTTGCGGGGAGAAAGCCAGCCTTGGATTCTCAGCATTGCTTCACCTCATCAGATGACAAAAGAATGTTCCACAGCTTTCAGGGAGGGTTATGGACACAGCTGGGGGTGGACAGAACGAGGTTAAGGATTGCCTGAAGCTGCAGGGAGTGCATAGAAGAGCCCTGGTCAACCGACCGGAGGAATTCAGTGAAGCTGCCATAGAAGTGGGCATCTGGGTCTTGACTGGAGAAAGCTCTTGGGACAGAGGCAGGGATAGCACCAGGGCAGGGGTCACCGAGTCTCCGTGTGGACATCAACAGGTCTGAAGGTCACGGTCGTGGGCTGTTGGCTGTTGTTGCTGTTTGGGTCCAGGGCAGGAGGGGTGGCTGGCTTGGGGCTCTTGGGTTCTAGCTCCCGCCTTGTCCTCATTCTCCTGTGACGAGATAGGCATGTGTGGTTAACTCTTCTCCCTCCTGTGCCACAGGGAGTGGGCCCTGTGGCCATGGTTCTGATCATCATAAAATCATGTTGCTTTATTACCACCCACAGAAAAGTGTTTTGGTGGTAATGGAGTTTGAACTCAGGGCTTTGTGCTTGCTAGGCAGGTGCTCTACCACTCGAGCTACTCTGTCAGCCAACCAGCCACAGAATTCTACAACTGGAATCACTCTTAGACTTTAACTTGTCTGACTCCTGCAATTCTGTGTTTAACTTAGATACTTAATTTTATTTGTTCCTGTTAACCGAAAGAATAAAGTTTCGGGGAAGTGGCTACATCAAGACAGAATGAAGATGTTACATGTTTTCTGTTCAAAGTTGTAATGTGAGTTAATTGGTTTTTTTCTGGTGCTGGGGATGGAACCCAGGACCTTGTGCATGCCAAGCAAGTGCCCACACAAAGCCACACCCAGCCCATGAATTAAATTTTGCAGTCTCATTATGATTGCTAAGAGAATGTACTTAAAACACACATCCTGCCAGGCATGGCGGGCATACCTGAAATCTCACTCTCAGGAAGCTGAGCAGAAGGACTGCAAGTTCTAGACCAGCCTGGGCTAATGCAAGACCTTGCCTCAAAAAATGTTTGTTTTTGAAAAATCTTTACAGAAGTTGCATGAATAGTACACTTAAGACCCTAACACCCTTCACAAAACACTTTGTCACATTTGAAATGCTCTCTCTCTCTCTGTGTGCACACATATAGAGTTTTTGTTTGCTTGTTTCTTCTTTTTTAATCATGAACCATTTGTGACCTACACGCAGACATCACGTCACTTCATTCTGATATGCTCCTCTGAACAAGGGCTTTCTCTGCACTTTGAGACCCTTCTAGTTTAAAGATGACAGGGTTGAGACACTGAGAGATTAAATAATTTGCCTGGGTTTGACACACCGAAGACTGAACCCAGGTCTCTCAATCCCAGCCCAGGCATCAGTGTAAACAGTGTGAGGTGAGTGAGGTCTCCACCCAGAAAAGGGTGCTCAGAACCTAGAAAAGGGGCTCAGAGCTCCAGCAATGATGGACAGGAATGAAGGTAGACATTGGGGTTTGGTTGCCACTTCCTGGTTGGGAATAGACTCAAATGGTAACATCCTAAAGAATTTCTTTAAAACAACGTTTAACTTTATTATTACCATTACTCCATGTAATGGTGGGAGTATTTTCTTTGAAACCAAATGTATTGGGTTTGAATCCCAATTCTGCCAAATAGAACTGAGTAACCTTGGGCATGTCACTTAACCTTCCTGTGCAGACACTGGCGGGAGCAGACAAAGGTCCTAGGGCTTGCCATACCTGTGATACATCTTCAGCAGGATTAGAACCATGGTGAAGATGATGATGACAATCACCACAATGGCAGCAACGATGGCTCCGGAACCTATGGAGAGGGACAGAGCCAAGATGGAGAACATGCAGCCTGGAAGGGGCCCCCACTGTGGCACCTGCTATGGTTTGGATTGAAGTGTCCCCCCAAAACAAATGTGTTGAAGACCTGGTCCCTAAGTGGCTGATCCAATCATTGAGAGGTGAGTCAATCATGACCTAACCAATGGGCCAATTCATTGATGGAGTTCTTATCAGGAGGTATGGAAACCATGCAGGGTGGACCTAAGTGGAGGAAGGGGGTCACTCTGAGTGCACCTTTGAAGGGTAAATCTTGCCCAAGACCTTTTCCACTTCATCTCTCTGCTCCCTGGTAGCTATGAGGTGAGCAGCTCTGCTCCACCTCGCCCTCTCCACCATGATGCTCTGCCTACCACAGCCCCACAGCACTGGGCTAAGCGACCATGGACTGAACCCTCTGAGATGGAGAGCCAAAATAAGCTTTTCCTCCTTTACTTTGTTTTTCTCAGGTATTTATCACAGCAACAAAAACAGACCGACATGGCACCTGACATCCCTACTGAGTCAAGAGTGGGAGGAGAGTTAGCAATGCCCTGGCATGCTCACTGCTGATCCCCAGGATCGCGTCACGTCACAAGCGGCCATGCACCTCTGCCTTTGACAGGGCTTGAAGGACTCTGACCAGCCCGACTTACACTAAGTCCTTTTGCTGTTATTGATTTCTCCCCCCTATGGTGCTAGGAATTGAGCCCAGGGCCTTAACGCATGCTAGGTTAGCGCTTTGCCACTGAGCTATACCTCCAGCCCCCAACTGTTTCCCATCCATCCCAGCACAGCTTCAAACTTCTGTGCAATAGACAAGCCAAGAGCTCTCTCTCTTCTGATAAGAAGTAATGAGAGTTCTGCGGATAATTTAAAAAATACAAACAAAAAAGAGGGATGATGAAGACATTCTTATCCAAAGAAACACCGATATCTGCACATGTACACGTTCACCAATGTGACCATGCCTGTGCACATTAAATCTGTTTAAACTTCAAAATGACTTATTAATTCTGTGTCTAAAAATCTATCCTAAGGAAATAGTCCTAAATGTGGAAAAACAGACACTGGAACATGGAAGCATGGGAAAACACAACTGTGTTCCATACTCTGTTTGTTCTCTAATCGTCCTGCGTGAGATTACCTATTTTTCTTCATGATTTCTCATGGCTACACGTTTCTTCATGGTTTGTGTGCACCATAATTTGTTCAGCAATTCCCTACTGAGACTATCTATGCTGCCTTCCATTTTTCACTGTGACAAACAAGGCTAGAGATAGGCATGGTGGTGCACCTATGTAATCCCAGCACTCGGGAGGCTCAGACAGGAGAATGGAGAGTTTGAGGACTGGAGGTAAAGCAGTAGAGTGCTTGCTTTGCAAATGCGAAGCCCTGGGCTCTAACCCCAGTCCTGCCTCCCCCCGAAAAGAGAGAGAGAGAGAGAGAGAGTGAGTGTGTTTTAGGTCAGCCTGGGCTACATAGCAAGGCCCTGTCTCAAAACAAAAACAAACAACAACAACAACAAAAACCAGAATTATTTCCATCTGGCTGATAGTCATTCTGTCTACACTGCACCTCCCCTCGGAACTATCTGTAGACACACTCAATGGCCACAGAGATGCCTAGCCAGCAAGGAGCAGGATGAGGGGCAGGATGAAGACAACATGGGATGGGGACCCTGTCTGAGAGCACCTCCTCTGGTTTCCATGGAAGAGACACATCCTGCCATTAATCCAGCCTGCTGCAGGTACCACAGCTTGAAGTCACCCATCATAGCTGAAACTGTCCCTGCAGGTGGGGACCTGTTCCATACAAACAGGTAAACTCTAGCCAGCTGAAATGGCTGAAGGGGACCCAAAGTTCTCCTTATGCAATCAATTGGTTTCCTGAAGGGCTGCCTTCAAAGTTTTCATTCTGGGAACCTCTGTTTCTGGAAAATCTCTCTCCAGAACTAACTCTTCCCTCTGTTCATTTACTCCTTTACAAGTTGGCAAGATGTTTTTGCCTTGTAAAAATAGGAAAGTAGCTACATTTAGAGACATCTTAAAAGAGATTCAATTTGCATTTCTCTGTAGACCCCAACACCCCTGATGAGTGCAGCAGTACCAATCATAATGCCTGTAGGTCCTAGCATGCACTAGAGTCTATTCTGAGCCCCTCACATGGATTATCTGAGTTCCCACAAGTACCTGCATTGCATCCTCATTAATACCCCCATCATAGAGATGAGGAAACTGAGGCCCAGAGCAAAGAAGTCATGTACTCAGGGTCGTGCACTTGGCAAGTGGTAGAACTGGGACCAATACTCAGGGCTTTGTCCCCAGAGTCCATGTTCTAGGCCTCTGCACCAGTGGCTGACTGTGACACTTGTCCTGTCAATCCTTCCCTAGGCTCCAAGCAAAAGTGACTTACTCTTTCTTTTTTCTTTTTTTTTTGGTGGGACTGGGGTTTGAACTCAGGACTTCCTGCTTGTGAAGCAGGCCCTCTACCACTTGAACTACACTTCCAACCCATTTTGCTCTGGTTATTTTGGAGACAGGGTCTCTTGAACAATTTGCCCAGGCTTGCCTCGAACCTCAATCCTCCTGATCTCAGCCTCCCAAGTAGCTAGGATTGTAGGTGTGAGCCACTGGTACCCCATTCTAAATTGACTTACTCTTGTATAGGAAGTCTTCTCCTCTGGTGGTCATGTTCAATGAGAAGACAGCATCCCCCAGAGTGGTGGCTGTGGTCATCTTGATCCTGGTGAAGATAAAGAAGAAACTTTGCTTAAAACCAGAGTAAGTTTTGTTATTTCTATACAATGCCTCTTTTGGTCTTCACTGGCATGACTAGAATATTCAAGTACAGAGTTTCTCTTTTTATTTTTGAAGCAAGGTCTGCTATCTAGCCCATGTTGGCTTCGAACTTATTATCCTCCTGCCTCAGCCTCCTGAGTGCTGGGATTATAGATGTGCACCACCACACCTGGCCAAGCATGAAGCTGATTTTGGCAGTAAGTAAATATGGGGCCCATTTTTAGATACTGGAGGGAAGAATTAGAAGTACTACCTAGATTTGCCAGGGATTGTTTTTTAAAGCAGTTTAGATTTGTTTCATTCCTCCTAGGACAATGTTAGGAATGAAAACTCCCAATGCTGTAATGTTACACTTAAGGGGTGAGTCTGTCACAGCGCTAGAAGTAAGTGTGGATCTTCCACCAAGAATTACATTGTAAGTACATCAATGTCATAAATAATTGCTCTGAATTTAGGGATCAAGAAAGGAAGAGACTGAGTACAGTGGCTCAGAACAGTGGCTCACACCTGTGATCTTAGCTACTTGGGAAGCAGAGATGGGGTGATCGCCAATTGAGACTAATTCAGGCAAAAAAGTGAGTGAGACCCCATCTCAACCAATAAAAAAAAGCTGGGCATGGTGGTTTACTCCTGTCATGACATCTCAGCTATGTGGGAAACATAAATAAGATCATGGTCCCTGCCAGCTTGGTCAAAAATACAAGACCCTATCCCAAAAACAATTAAAGCAAAAAGGGTGGGAGCATGGCCCAAGTGATAGTGTGCCTGCCTCGTAAGTGCAAGGCTCTGAGTTCAGAACCCAGGACTGCCAAATCAATCAATCAATAATTGTATATATCATAGTTCTACATATTTATTAAACAAGTATCAATCGTGTACCTACTAAGCCACCATGGCTGTGCTAGGTGCTGAGAGCACACAGTGAAGTGGCAGAGAAAACTTACCCATGGAAGCCTTTCTAGTGCAGGAGAGAGAGCGAATGGAGGTCTGATTGTGTCATTCTGGGGCTCACAAATAAATCATCTGTTAGGCAAAGCCCTTCCTTGGCTTTCCATCTTTGTTGCCAGCTTCTCAGCTGCTCCCACCAACCTCTGCTGAGTTGTGGTGACAATGGACCACTGAATCTTCCCACATCCTGTCCAGTCTTGGCTGTCTCTGGGCTGGCAGCCCGAGTTTTGGCCCCCACTCCCCACAGTAGGTCCCCTGAGAATCTCCACCTTTGGCCTGCAGCTCCCAGCTCTGACAGAAACAGTTGGCATCCCCGCTGAGAGGTCCACTGGGTTCAGGATGCCTGCACTCAGACTGGGGGCTCCGCTGCACAGCCTCTCAATGGCCTTTGGTGGACTGACCCTGTTAATCCAGAGGACAGGCTCTTCCATCACCTTCTCTGTCCCTCTTCAAGTCGAGGACCCTGCCTTCCCCTCCCCAGCTCTTGTCGACCTTCCTCCCAAACACCTGATTCTCCAAAGACCCCATCCTCAGGCCTCCCATGACTCAGGCTCCCATCTGGAAACCCACAGGGCTCTGCCTGATCTGTCCACACTTGCTAACCCCTGCCTGGGCTTCCACTGTCTCCTGACTGCCTTGAACAGGTCCCAGCCGGCTATGCTCTGCTGCTTCCCAGAAACGTGAACACAGCCACCCACTGCCTCAAAAGAGTCTTGCCCAGACAGAATTCGTGATTCCGTCCTCTACCTTCCCATAGCAACCTGCAAGACACCACCTGAGCAAGTGTCTCATGGCTCCTTGTCAGGTCCTTGAACCTAGAGACTGTTTCCAGTTCTTTTTCAAGTCTGTCCTCCTCCCCCAGAAAAAAACATCTGGGCCTTCTCACTTTTACCAGAGCAAGGAATTAAATTTTTCCCAGCTTAAATTTTCTTGTCTATAAAATTAGCATCCTTGACCTAGGGGAACTGAAAGTTAGAGGCAAGGTGTGAAAAGTGTCTTTGTTTGTTTGTTTCTCCAGGACTAGGGTTGAACTCAGGGCCTCACCCTTGCTAGATAGGCATTCTACCGCTTGAGTCATACCCTCAGCCCTCTTTGCTTTAGCTATTTTTCAAATAGGGTCTTGCATTTTGCCCAGACCGGCCTAGACTGTGATCCCCCTAATTATGACTCCCACATACTGGGATGACAGTCGTGTGCCCCCATGCTCAGCCTTTTAATTGAGATGGGGTTTCACTAAATTTTTGCACAGGCTGGCCTGGAAATATGATCTGCCTACCTCTGCCTCCCAAGTAGCTGGGATTATAGGCACAAACCACCAAGCCTGGTCTGGAAAGTGCTTTTAAGAGCTCAATAAATGGTAGCTCTAAGGATTATGGTGGGCATCCATAAATATCTGCTGAACTAAATTAGAGATGGGATTTGGAGCTCAAATCTTTTCCATAAAGATGTAGCAGGATATACTTGTAATCCCACCCAGCACTCATTAGATGAAAGAGGAGGATCATGTTTGAGGCCAGCCCAGGTTATACAGTGAGACCCTGTCTCAAAAAAAAAAAAAAGATAAATAAAAGGACAAATATGAGAATTTGGAACAGAAGTCTCCCCAGTCCCACTCTCAAGGAGAGACACCCACTGTTCATCCCAACACAGTGCTAACAGCATCAGTATGCACTGCCCAAACCTTCTGCTCTTATCCCCACCAGAAGCAAGCTGAGAAGGCTGGTGATGCCTTCTTATAATCCTTTTAAAAACAGAAATGCAAATAGGTAGCCATGGACCAAGGGTCACTTAGTGAGAGAGATGTGGTACAACCACCCAAACTGCCCGTGGATACAGCCATGGTAAAACCATCCTGCACAAAAACAATAGGAGCCACCATCTAAGCACCTGCCACGTGCCAAGACCTTGTGCCAGATAGCACTTATCCATGCACTGAAGCCATGGAAGACAAGGTCCCCCCACCGCCGTTTCCAGTGAAGACCTCAAGCCTCAGGGCTGCAAAGCTCTCTCCATACTTGTACAGCCGAGAAGCTTCAGAGTTGGCATGTGGACCCTGCCTTGCCGGCTGCAAAGCCTAGATCCTTCCCACTGTAGCACCAGTCACTGAGATGCACCTAGTGAAGTCCATGACCAGTCACTGCAAGAATACACATTCACACACACATGCACACATGTGCACACACACACTGACCAGTAAACAGTCTCCTACAGCCACAGGACACAGGCTCCTTCGGGGTGGCCTCCTGGGTGCTGAATTCCAGATACAGACTCCCTCTTGGACAGATCCAGTCACTCCACTTTTGGGGAGAACAGTGAGTGACTGCAGAGAGCTTGCCTCTTCTGGGGAGCAAGGACTTTCAATCACATCTCTGTTCCTGTCACATCAGAGAAGGTGGGAGGGAGGGCGGTGGAGTGTTGATGGCCAACGATGTGGGTGTTTTCATGTGTGGGGCTTTGGTGACTTCTGTTAACCAAGTGAGGTCCAGCAGGGAGGTTTCAGTATAGTGTGTGCCTGGGGCCACGGTCCATGGCCACCAAAAACAGGGAGATTCTGGGGAGGGTGAGGATGGTTTTCACTGCAGATGTTAATTTTGTAACAATCATGGTGACAATCCCGAATTATGTGTCAGGCACTGCACTCAGTGAGTTGTGAACAAGATCTCATTTAATGTTCATTCCTATCGGGGAGGAGGGTGCAGTCAGGGTCCATTTTACAGATGGGGAAACTGAAGCTCAGAGCAGAGCGGAAACCCACCCAAATTCACAAGGTCAATGTGAAGTCCATGCTCGAATTCAAGCTGGGCTGTCTGCTTGCGCAGCACCTTTCCATAAACCCTCACCAGATTGCCTCCCGATGCACGCACAAGGTGTAGATGACCCAAATCAACCTGTGACTTTGATGAGAAAACCACACAGGCCAGAGCCAGAGAGCACCTACCCTGGGCCCCTGACCCTGACTCTTACTCGACTGGTCCCTGCCCTTGGCCCCACTCTGAACCTCTATCTTGAGCTAAGCCTTAATCACATTTACAGAGTCTACAAGGAACTGTTGTTCCCTTGGGTTGTTTACAAATGGCCCTGTGGGGGAGGTCAGCTTGGGAAGTAGTGGAAGGTCACGATCATTTACTTATTGACTCATCTCTCTCTCACTCTGCCTGGGTCAAGTGTAAGAGCTGTTATCTGAATGATCAATGCTGCCAGCTCCCCCTGTCCAAAATATCCATTCTGCACCCTTTCCCTCTGTCCTGGCTTACAGGTTCCTCTCTGGGTAAGACACTACCAGCCCCAAAACACTCCCACAAATGACCACTGCAGCTCAGAGTACGTAACTCCTAAGGGCCTAAACCTACCAAGCACTGGTATTGATTTCTGAGTCACCTGAGATTTAGGATGACTTGATTTCCTCCATAGACAAGAACCTCACTACTCCCACACAGCCTCTTTTTGAGTTATTGAGATGCTTTTCAGAAAATTGACCTTTATGTTGGCACCTTGTAATTTTCACCCATTGGTCCTGTCTTCTGCGATCTCTTCCTCGTGCTCTTCGTGGATGTCAAAGGGTAGCTGATGCCAGCACAGCATTCTACCTCCCTCCAGTAGGTGGCGCTAGCAGTTGGCTGTAGTATGGTAAATGCCCTGTTGAACCCAAACTCTAAGAAGAGGAGCTTTCCACCCCTGAAAACAGCGATTGTGGGTTCTTTCATGATTCTCCTCCCCTCCCCCATACACCATGGGTTAAATATTCTCAGCTTCTCCAACAGTTCTTGGGGCCACCAAGGATTGTGTCAACATCTCCCTTAAATATGGCACACAAAACTGGACACACAACTCCAGAAGGGGCCTGAAATATTCAGAACGACATTTTTCTTGATACTTCTCAGACATGAACCTGAACTCATCCACTTGTCAACACTTTTTGCCTCTGTGCTTTATGACCTGTTAAAATGTGGGAAAATGTGGACATTAAATGAAGTGACATGTAATATACT